AGACTTGAATCAATGGCAACTCCAAAAATAGATGTTCTGGGTTCGATCAAGACTGCTGTGGGTCTTCAATTGAGTCCACCATCAATTGATTCACTCCAGTCTCTGCTTGATTACTCATGGTCTCAGTTAGCTGATGATATCTGTCAAATCGAGTTCACACTCGAACGAGACTGGTCCAATGTCCCAGTAGTTCTCTGTCACAACGATACGCAGAGTCGAAATTTTCTTCTCGACAAACAAGAGAACACTATTCAAATGGTCGATTTCGAACACAATGCTGAAAATTTCTATCTTTTTGACATCGCCAATTACTTTGTCGAATTTGCTGGTCTTGATTCGTCACCTGACTGGGTGAACGACTACCCGAATCGAGAATTGAGAAAGACGTTTCTAGACGAATATATGAAATATGCTCGCTTTTTATCTCTCACAAGCAATGGACACGAACTGGAAAAACTATGTGATCAATGTGAACGTCTCATTGCTCTTACTCATCTGTATTAGTCAATGTGGGTTTTACTTGAAGCAATACTTAATCCTGAATCGTTGGTTCAATTCGATGATGTCACCTATGGCAAGAGCCGCTTCAATCACTACAAATTGCACAAGAACAATTTTTTGCTTTGCGGATTGTTCATCAATCCTTCGAATTCACCATTAAATAAATAATACTTCTGCTATCTTTTTCAGAACATTTCTTTTTGTTGTTTTATTCACATTGTAAAGAAACAAAAGTCCATATGAATTAAGGAAAAATGTTAGTGATGGTTTAAACTAAGAGAAATACAAAATAAAACGATGTAGAATACTTATACTTGAAAAAAGAGAGATTGATCATTGTTTTTTGTTTTTCATGGAAAATATCGCTTCTTCTGGTTTTGCTGAACATGCAGATGCTCTCTGGAATGAAATTGAGTATTTGGCAGAAATATGTGAGAGTATATTTCGCTTGAGACTTTCATAATAAATGTTTTTGTGCTGTTTATTATTGAATAAGTAAATGTACTCATTTGCAACTGGATAAAGTTCAGCAACAGAAGCAATAGTATTTGTAGAGCACCGATGTGTTATCTTGAACTATATATTTGAATTACGTTCGAAACAATGAGTGCTAGAGTAGTACTTAAACCATCGTATGAACCGATTTATTGTTTTACACGGAGATCTATCAAGGAAAAATAATATTTTCGATGAAAGCAGTTCGGAAGAGCATTTCAACTATGCGAATGCGTGGTAAATTCCGATTTCCAAGAAATTTAAATTTTTCAATATCATATTACAACGAATACTACACACAAACGAATGCTAGTGCAAGGGTGTACAAAAAAATATCCATAATTTGGCAATGAAAATTCACAATTAAAATTTCTATTGAAGAAAAAAAAATCAACTTCGGCATAGTAATCAGCTGGCAAAATCATTATAAAAGGACAAATTGATAGAAATATAGTCCATATTTTTTGGATTGGATTGAGTTGTTTTGAATTGTCTGAAAAAAATGTGTGTCAAACTCTTCTAACCTAGCTCCACCACTAACCCTACTCAACAGCCACATTCACACCCACATCATCTTTTCGACAGATTTTTCGGCATTTTTTTGTTCGAACTTTTTAATACATACCTTGAAGTATAATCCTAGTCGACATTTGTGGGTCAATCTATCATTATTTTCTGAAAGTAGATAAGTAGCCCAGGGAGGAACCGAGTGCCTTAGACTTGAAGTTAATCTGGACTACTTGACAGTACTTCAAGCTACTCTAAAGTTCCTCACCGTAGTTTTTTAAGTATTTTTCTGTAACTTCAAAATACTTTGTTGTACCGCAAAGTACTTTTGATATAACTTTACGGTACTTTATTGTATCTGAAGTTCATTGTTTCCCACTTCTAGGTAGTGCAAAAAAGCCGATCTGGACTATCTTTACTATAGACTACCTAAATGAACTAAAGTTTTCAATTTGGTAATTTTAGACTATGGCCTTTCGAAGGCCGATACAAATATCAAAAGATTAAATTATGAGAAATATCGTGGTTTCTTGGTCCTTTCATGCACTTTCTTAAAACTGATCACCCTTCTTTCTTGGCAAAGGAAAACTATTTCTCAAGAATCATAGGTTTTTATAAAGAGAAATCAGATAAAATATCTTGAGAAATCGATTACAGATTTGAATTCCTGGACCTCGATCCCATTCTGGTGAAACTTTATAAAATGTTATTTCTTTGAAATACCTTTCGCTTGTTGAGAAATTGCGGTAATGAATTTTTGAGTTACCCGTTACTTAGTAACTGTTGTTCTAAAGATAACTGCCCTGTCATAGTTTTATTCTACTAGGAATGCTTGATTGTTGTATAACGCTTGCAATTTCGATCCATGATTATCAATAATAGAAAATATAACGTTGCAAATTACTACGCAGGATTTTCCTATTATTGTAGGGCTACATGAGAAGCTTGAACAGCGCACTATTTGTTATGTTTGCTGATTATATTGTTTCTACTGGATTAGCATAATTTCAATATAAGTAGAAAATTTAACTTGAAAAGAAGCACAAGTAAAGAAATGTGAATTAAATTGCTTCGAATTACATAAGAGCATGTTATAGTATTTTAAAACATGTTAAAGAATTTTAAAGTATCTTAAAATACGATAAAATACGTGAAGTATGAAGTATTCTGTTTCCTCCTTGATTCTCACCATCATTCCGAGACAAGGTAAGTGCATAAAAAAACTTCTTAGCAGATGTCGTTACTCGTTTGTTTTCAAATTATCACCAAGACTTTGGAAAACTGAAAATGTAACCGAAGATATCGTACTGAATACTAAATCATCTTTTTACGACAATATCGATTTTACCAGGTATCTTTACAATTTTCAGAAATATTTTTACAGAAAAAAAAAATATACAGAACAAAATCTAAAATGGTATTTCTCTCGATTCTGTTTTGCTCTTATAGTTGCTATAGTGACTGAAGTTTTTATGTTTTTTGGACATCAGAAACAATCTAAGATACTCATTGGAAAAATATTGGCAGATGTACTAGGGAAAAAAATGACCATTGACATATTTGTTTTTTTGGGTTCTGTTGGATTATCTTCTATTAATTTGAAGAACATGATATGAAAATACTGAAACTCTTTCTGGACAATGGCTTCAATATTAGATTTATTTCTCTGTACTATAATTAGTAGCGTTAAAGGTTGACGATGGTATAAAAATCTTAATATCCAACATCTCATCTTGATGTTTTTTGACCTTTTCAGAATTGTACTTCAACTTAACCATGTATATTGAAATTGTAGATACATGAAGTGACAATCGTTACACAGTAATGTCGTCATACATTAACGATAAATGGTCAATATATAAATGTCTTTGAATGAAAAAGGAAGGCCATGAATAATATTTGTTTTGTTTCTATATTGAAATATCAAATTGTTCAACTGTTCATGTTTCTTTGTTCCTTCTGTTCTGTCTACTTCAAATGATGATTTCTCAATGTAATTGTGAATTCTTCGTTCTCTGAAAGGAAAGGAAAAAGAAAAAAAAGTGGAATAAAAAAGTGTGTGTAGTGGGGAAACCAGTCGTGACTTATTTCAAGCATAAGACGAGACAAGAGGAGTTCCATATATGTTCGTTACTATAATTTTCTTTCTTGCCTTAGGTCAACTATGCTGTTCTTTTTTCTCATAGCTGTATAATTGAACGAAGGGAGAAAGTTTTAATAGTAAGAATAATAGCAATTGAGGATGTTGCCGCCGTCTACTCATGATTCATTCTATGTGGACAAAAAGATTTAAGAGCTCGTTACGTCGTTACTATTCTATACATTTATAGTGAGAATAGTAAATATTATATTATTTGCTTGATCGATATAGACAGACAGACAGACAGACGAATAGAAAAAGAAATAAAACAAGCACTCTTTTCCACTTCGAAAACGCATAAATATTATTTACATTTTTTTAGCATTGAATGTTATTTTGATATTTCATTTGAATAGCAAATGTTTCCACAATACACGGAACGTAAGTTATTTCAATCAATCTTTTGATTTAATATAATGACAATGAGAATTGTAGGTCAAATGGGAGTCGAGTTAGCCATCTGGCTCTTAATCACTATCGGTGCCCTACTTATTCCTATAATTGCAGTCGCCATTTGTTGTATAAGACGTCAGTAAGTATTCATTCTTTATTTTTCATTATGTGAATCTCCTCTAAAGAAAAGCAAAGGAACAATACTATATGATGATAATAAGTTGGAAGACTATTAAAAATAAATATTATGTTTACAGATATTGAAACTACTATGTTCGATTCAATTTTTGTAAGTTATTTCTTTTGTTGACGATTTCAAAATAAAAACTTCAATAAAAAAAAAGATTCTTCTCTCGACTCTTTGCTTTTTCTTTCTCTCGTTTACATTAATCGATTTTTGTGTGTGATGATTATTTTAATTCACACATATTTAAACAAATGTTTCCAATCATTTCTTAATTGACAGTTGTTGGCAAAACATTCCTACTCGCCATCTGCCATCTTCTTCTGCTATTGTTATTAACAATGATGAGCTACTACTTAATTCAAATTCATCACCACATCAGTTGTGGAATTTTTATGTACGTGAATTAAACAGAAAAAAATCCAAGATGTATATATATGTTAGAGGTTTACATTCCCCAATAAATATTTTTGTTTGTATTTGGTGGCAATATTTTAGTTATGCTTTTTTTTATTGTTCACATTGCTTTATATTTTTCTCTTTGCACGTGTTTTTTTTATTGAACAGTAATTTAAAATTGATATTAATCTTTTATTGAATTGTTGTGTTTTGCAGTTTGTCAAGAAGACCTCGCATAAAATTGATGAAAAGACGGCCTCCACAGATGATGATAAATACGAAACAGATGGAGGCTCTACGGTATATGAAAATTAGTTGTTTTTTTTTGTTCTTAAAAATGATCACCTTATTCATGTGTTTAGTTCGTATAATGGTCCTTATATGGAATCGAGTAACGATGATGTCGATGTGTCAGCTGAAAATAATATTTCTCAGACTTTTTCTCGCGCAAATTCACTTAAAAAACAGCATGTTCATTGGCTTGATAGATCAACAACATCAAAATCAGATGATTTCCATTCAATAAACCATCAAAAAGTCATACCACGAAAACAATCATTCATCGGAGAAGATATTTTTGATTCTACGGTGCTTACTGAATCACCATTAGCTCATCGTAATCGTGCTGTTATATCGACTTCATCATCAGCTCTTTCTCATTTCATTCCAACAACGATTATTCCAGTTGGTTCTGCAGTTAATAATACTGGTACAAGTCAATTATTAACATTATCTAAAGAATTTACGTCTATTTTTGTTAATAATAATATTATTGTGTAGTTTTTCTTTTTCTTTGAATTTTTAGCTCAAATTTTTAATATTTTTCTGTACATTGAAGCGAGTTGTTTTCTTTTCAACACAATATTATACAAATTAAATAAGTCTGTTGACAATTTTATAAGTAATATATCTGAAAATTACCATAGTATTCGGCAATCGCTTATAATTAAGATATATATTTATAAAACTGATAGAATTAATTTCGTTCATATTCAATTTTAAAAAAATATGACAAAAGAAAATGAATCAAGAATTTTTACAACATCCATTGCTATTTGGAACTGTTGATTTTTGATTATCTTTTAGACGAAATGATTTTTGATTAGGTGAAATTACAATTTGCGGATCAGATGACACAGGAACGGTTAATGTTGGTACATGTCCCATTGATGTCATTGCTGCTGCTGATGATGAGGATGATGAATTATCCACTGATTTAGGCATTTTCTTATAAAAAATACCTGTAACAACTGTAATAAATGCTTGTTCAACATTAGATGCATTAAGAGCTGATGTTTCCATGTATGATATATTAAGTTCTTCAGCAAGAGCTGTTGCTTGTGCACGTGATACTTTACGTTGATCAACTAAATCAGATTTATTTCCAACAAGAACAATTGGTATATCAGCTGGTGTATGTCGATGTAATTCTTCAATCCAATTTGTAATATGATTAAATGATTCAGGTTTAGTTAAATCAAATACAGCTAAAGCACCTTCACTACCCCGGTAAAATTGCGGTATAACAGTTTTAAAACGCTCTTGACCTGCTGTGTCCTATTATGATATAATTACAAAGATTTCAAAGGATATAAATTAAAATAAAAAAAAATTACCCAAACTTGAGTTTTTATTCTTTTGCCATCAATTATAAGTTGTTTATAAGCAAACTCAACTCCTATTGTTGATTGTGTATCAAGACGAAATTCATTACGGGTGAAACGTAATAAAAGATTACTCTATTAATGAAGAATAAATTGAAAAAAAAAGTATTGAAAGATAATCAATCATACCTTTCCAACGGAACTATCACCTATAAGAACTAATTTAAAAATTAAATCATAATCAGATCCTCCACTTGATTTTGCCATATATGTTTTAAAAAGAGAATTCTATATGTGTATTTGATGACAAGAAGAGAAATATGTTCGCCTACTGATAAATCTGTACTTTTCATCTTCATCATCCTAAATTATCTTATCAGACAAACGTGTGCTATAAAAAAGAAACTAAGAATGAAGACGTAAAATTTGAAGTTATCACAATATTTTGTCCTTATGTCTCATCAGAAAGTAGAAAAAAAAATAACACGTCACATGTTTAAAGTATAAATCAACCGAATTTATTTTCGTCTAATAATTTCAAACTTTATTACAGTGTTGTAAGAGTGTATATTCATTTAGTGTGAAGAAAATAATTCTATACTGACATATACACAAGTTTCAATATTGACATTTCTTAAATGGAGTATATCATAACGATATAGACACAAGATAATATGATGTGTACAAACGATTTTAAAAAAAAATGGGTGAATAGGAATATGTCTGTGTTGACAATAGATAATAAATCTATATCAGTCATGATCCATGTTTGGAAGAAATTACTGAATGATATAATTGCTCTAAAATTATATTATTTCAATTATATGGAAATTTCTTATTGAAAAAACAAAACTTACTGATTATTAGTCATTATTTTTTTAAAGTAAATAACAGAAAATGATGTAAACATTTTAACCATTAAACTGAGTTTTCTACGCTTTAAACATTTAAAATCAGCACCAATGATCAACATGTAGATATGTAATTTAAAGGGACACAAACAATAGAGACTTCCCACTTACAGTATTTGACTCGACAACTAAGTAAACATTTTTCACGCATACTTTTGAAATGCAGTTAAAAGCATACTAGATGTGAACTTGCTACGACGTATGATGTCTAATTATGTCAATATTTTCACATTTGATACACAAAATATAGGAATCAACGGGTATCCTCTAAGTTTGTTATAGAAGTCGATGAGAAACAAAGATACTTTAAAATAGTTTTTCTTTCTGAACGGAAAGCATCGGAGAATAATCTGTTATATCAAATAAATATTTTTACAAGACTTTGTTTATTCATTTATTTTATCTCATTCAAGAGAAGTACAGTATTGTTTCTCAGATATTCATTGTATTTTGCAGTTTCATGCTCGATAATTACATATTTTTGAATCAATCTTTTCTCTCTTGAACTATACTTCTTTACAACCTAATTATGGTCCAGCTTCTAGCATGTTTTGACTGGATTGAAAACTAGATTTTATTGATGAGGAACGTAGTGCAAAACATTTTTAAAAATTGAGAATGTACTGCGGTAAACATGATGAATTCTGATATATCGAGTGGCAATGTATACCTTATACATTCTTTTGTGATGATATTAACTCTCTTGCTTCTCTTGATGATTTGAAGAAAATTATGAAAACGACTGATTCTTCAATATATTTAACAAATGTATATCTTAAAGCACTCAGTGTCATGCTCCTATATTTTGCTTATGTTTTAAGTTAAATGAAAGTTAGCAAAGGATATCTGTTTGTCAACATTCAAGTGAATAATTAATATTCCAGTATCGAAGAATTCACTATGTTTTTTTATATAAATGGAATATATGAGATGGGATATTCAAAACTTTTCTCGTAACATTTTGTAAATACCAGCTTTTTCAATGTTATGCGGTCATATTTACGTAGTCTAGATATACAATAACAAGTAAATTTCATATACATATGATACCAATCTGCAAGTAGTTTTGGACACGTCGTTCAATAGCACACAATTATTCTATGTTTTGCAACGAATTAATTATGTGTTGATATATCAATACATGAAAATGTATGCCTAAATATTGTCTCCATGACAAAATAATTCTTTGAAATCCGTATGACTCTAAAAACACTTTCGATGAAAAACTACAAATGAATGTATTCCTAACTATATCATTCAAAATGATAAATGCCAATGCAAACAGTATGATGGTAATACTTTTTACGATGATGAGTATCAAGATATTCACTATGCTCAAAATCATATATCGTTTCAAACAATTTTTAACAATTTTACAGAATTCGATCAAACATATCGTGAACAATGATCATGCAATAACATCTATAGTTGTTGTAACAGGTAGTAATAGATTCTGCAATCATTTTCATGTAGCTGACGATGAAGTTAATTGTCATTCATTAGTATTATTAAGATGTTCATTTCATCGTCATGCATGAGTTTCAACTAAAACAAATTAACTGATATATCTACCGATTGAAAAAGTCAATAACGATACGATCAATTGTCTAGATGCTGCCGATGAGTCAAAACTATGTAGAGCCAATAAGCATCAATCTTACATAATAAATTTTTACAGTAAGAACGACAGTCATAAATCTTCCATTAATAGTAGAAATTAGTGTAACATGCATCAAAAGTTTATATATGACGATGCTGAGTGGTTTTGTCAAAAGTACAATCAAACGTTTTACTGTGTGTGTGTGACAAGATAAATTTGTGGTGTCTGTCAGATGTAGAAAAATTTCTGTGTAAATAACTAATGAATAGAGAAAAACGATCGATTAAACATATCTTACTTGGTTCAGTTAGCAATTTGTATAATCATATGGTGAAAAGTAATAAAAACAACTTGATGCTTTTTAGTTTCATAATGACTAAACCAATGCATCAACATGGACTACATTGCCATTGTGATCTTGATTTACGAATGCAAATAAAACGAGAAGATAAAGTTAATAACAATCACTTACCATGTTAACCTCGTTTCTCTATGGTAACATGTGTTAATATCAAGATCAATAACGGTTAGCCTTACCATACAAATTTGAACGATGCTGACTCTTGATGAACATTATTAGCAATAGCTTGTTTCAATTATTAATCATAATGACAAATAAAATAATCATATAATTGAATAATTCTCATATGATTCTGTGCACTTTGATATTTATGAGGAGATCTGATTAGCATATAGGCAAGATTTGCTAGTATCATTAACATTTCCATTTTTTATGCACATAGTCACTGTAACAGATCCTCGGAAAACTTTTTTATAGTACGCATAAATCAGACGTTATGAGTATACCTAATAAAATGTATACGATAAGAGACATCATTGTTGAGAAGAACGTTTATTTTGTAGAGACTGGTACAAACAATTTTCAAAACGGAATGTAGTCAAATAAAAGAATGTGAAAGTAAGCGGAAGGGGCGCCTTTATGACTTATGCAATCAATATCAAAGATTTTACAGTCACATTCTACTTCGGTGAATCTTTTAGTGTAACTGTTTCGGTACAAATTTCATTTTTAGACCATTCAAAGACTTGTGAATGACTTCAAACCTATGATTTCCTCAAATAATACGAACCCAAAATTCAGAAAGAGTACAAAATTTCGATTCTAATCTAAGGTTTTAAAATTTCTGTTGATTCTTTCAATTGATCGAACAATGAAGGAACATTTTTTTGCAAAATTTTCGGACTATCTATTATTAGATATTTCAATGAACTTAATACTACTTTTCTTTTTCAATGTAATCGACAGCAGTCTGATCAATAACATACTATTCCATATTAATGTGTTCCTCTAACGCCATATGTCATAGTATACTTGCTAATGATGGATCTTTATGTGTTATGTCCTCTTAATAAGTTTGGTTCGTGTTGTCGATTCAACAAAATAGTTTGTCAACCTTATCAAAACATGACATGTCAAAATGGTTGTCAATGTATGTCTGTCGATGATTATATTGGATTTTAAGAAAATATTCACATGTCTTTGTTCAAAAGATTTCACTAGCAAATAATGAAAATTATCTTACAATCAAATCATCATGTTATTGCATGAAAACATTATTTTACAATCTTCAATGTGTATTCATTTTATGCGAGTGAATGATTCATGTTTTACTGGAACGTTCTAATATTTTCAAGACTCAATTACTTTCTAGTAGGCAAGTCCATTTCATTTAGATTTCGTTAACCTATATAATCAGAATTTAATAGAATGACAACAAACGAGTAGTGAAATAATATATAACTCTAGCGATTAGTACAAATATATATGATCCTTTTTAACGGTGTTTAGTTAAGGAAAGAAATGATACAAAGAATTTATGAATAGACTGTTTGTCTAGTTATTCATTTCATGTAGAAATTTTCAATTCAATATTGATCATTTTTCATTTTTTTTTCTCCATCTAACTAATTGTTCTCATCAGGATTCAGGCTCAATTTAAAAAACAACAGCGATCACCTTAATTATGTTTGCTTATTTTTCTCTTGTTTTCAGGGTTATATGAAATTATATCACGATTCTTGATTATATATTGTTGGATATTTTATTTCATTTATTTCATGCATGTTTACCTTTATTCTATATAGTCTCATCAAAAGTTTAGAAAAACGAATTTTGCAAATCGAACAATCACGCATGAAAAATGATTCAAACCAGTGTACATGCTCTTATATAGTACTTGTCAAAATAAAGTCCTTAGGTTTTTTTGCAGATCTCTATATATGTATCACTAAATCGTCAGAACACTACTCTTAATGTGTATAATCTACGTATTCTATGTTAAACAAATCCAGTTTTATTTGATAGATAAAAAAAAATTATACGAGCGAGAAAAAAGTTCTATAGTTAGTCCACATAACATGAAATATTATGTTGGGTTGTTATGTTTTTCTTCTAAATAAGCCTTTTTTTCAGCGTCAGTTAAACCATCTTTTGGAGGATTTTCAACATGATGTAAGTCATGTTTACCGCCTTGTACTTCAATTAATACTTTAGCTTGAGTTGTTGATAATGATTCTCCCGGTGGATCAACATGATGTAATTCATGTTTACCACCTTGTACTTCAAGTAGCATTTTGGCTTGAGTTGTTGATAATGATTCTGCTGGTGGATCAACATGATGTAGTTCATGTTTACC